GTTGGGAAAATTTGGATTCCCTCCCCCCCCCGGTTTTTCTTTTCGTTACGGCCCTGTGTGGACATAATAAATAAAAACCCGTGAGCAGCCGATCAACAGCCTTCTGCCAATATGAGCAATGAAAAGGAAAATTCTGATAATGAAAATACTGTATCTTTACTCAACGCAAAATCAAACGCAAAGGCTCGTAACGCAGCTAAAGAATCACTTGACAAGCAAGCCGAAAAAATGTTGGCGCGTTCAAATGCAGAAATAAGCCGAAGCGTTCGAGTAAGGATATCTGACTTAGATCTAGCCAAGACGGATAGTCGTAATATAATTGCTATTATTATATCTGTTGAAAAAGAAAAACTTCACAAACTTGGAACTGAACACGGTATTTTAAACCAACTTTACTACAGGAATGAGTTTACTGTGTTCATTTCGATCGACGATGTTCCAAAATTTGATATTACTCTCCGAGAATGTGCTTGAAGAGACTCTCATTTTGATTGACAAGGCTTCCAGCATTGTAACTGTAGTAGTAACTGCAATTCAAAACGTTGAAAATACAAGAAATTAAACATTCTCTGCAATTCCAAATGTCACAAAAGCTCATATTGCAAGAATAAATAATTCTAAACTTAATAACTTTCTTGCGCAGTCCTTATTTATTAGATATTTCTGTTGATATTTCTCAGTTCACCAATTTCAAAACTATTGTTCTTAAGTAATATTACTGATTTCAACTGTTTATTTTTCAACTACTATATTCAATAGTTTATTTTTTATTAACTTTTCATGAAAATTTTGTAATTTTTTTTTTTTTCATTTAATAGACAAAAACACTACAGTTCACCTATTTTATCACTTTAACCAAGATAGGGTGGGCATTATTCATAATGGCCAGGAAAAGTGATCAATCATGCTGTTTTAATCACATTGCCCAATTGAGATGGGCATTATAAATATAGACCGGCCATTATTAATAGTGCCCGGACAAAATGCCCGTAACATATACATTAGAACCTCATTTCTTATTCTTTAGTTTTGGAAATAATAATAACAAAGTGTCGTATTGCTGAAATGTTTCAGTAAACGGACTTGTGAAATTAAAATCAGTTGTTGCAGAACGATGGAACTTGAAGATGAAATCATGCTGAAAGACAATAATGGCATCTTATACATCATTGATTTTGGATATTCACGAAGAATTTTTAGGAGGCCCAACTATTTCAAGGAGATGGATGACATGGCCTTTTACAGAAGTTTCGGACTGACCAAGCTGACAAAACTATTTGTGCTGGAGCTCACAGAAGATGCTTTAGAATTCGAAAATGATTTGTGAAAAAACATTCAATTGTTTTTACTTTTTTTTTTCTTANATTGATGAAAGAACTGCTTTCTTTTGGGTATCACTGTTTGTTAAAAGTGAGAAAGATACTTCAAGTTTATTTCCTTGTAATTCGTTTATTATCCCAATACTTGATATATATTTCTTACATTGACCCTTTTGACATACATCAACCAACCAACACAGAACACTTATTTTTCAAGAAGCTTATATCTACTCACAGAACACATATTAAAGAGAACTTGTCATGAAAAATTGCTATTCTCAACAGAAACAAAAATATTTCAAAATCCTATAAATAGATATGAGTTATTTGAATCACTCTGTTGATCATTCCTGATTTCGGTTTCTGTACATTTTCACCTGATTCAAGTGAAAATTTTGTTGAAATGTAAAAAACGAATCATTGCGAAACAATAATGTGGCCTCGATTAGAAACGGTTGAATGAGTTATTGCGATTTTTCAACAATATGCATGAAAGCGTTAACTCATTTTAGAGTTTCATTTTTCATTTTATAGTTCCCAAAAATAATAACGATTCAACCTGTATATTATTCTTTAGAGTTCATAACGTATATGTAAGTTTGGTCTGAGATCAGAGCTATAGACTCCATTCAGTTTTTTCAATTCTACCGATAATTATGTGTGGTGTTAACTAGTTAATATTGGTTTGGAAGTGACATTTTCCAGTTTTGACACCTTTTATTTCGAAAACTATACATATAATTTTTCTGTGCCTGTGTTGACTTTTGATCAGCAGATCGAGCTCAACAGAATACTAAAATTTCAAGCGATTCGACAGAAAGCCATTTTGCATAAGGAATGTGCGTGGTCCTTTTTCAGAAAAAAATTAATATCTCGAAAACTAACAAATTTGGGTTAAGGCAGGGGTCTCCAAACTACGGCCCGCGGGCCAAATCCGGCCCGCTAGTGTCATCAATCCGGCCCGCGACAGCCAATGATTTACTGTCATCAATCTTGCCCACGACAGCCAATGATTACCTAATTGTTGTTACTATTGCTGTGATAAGTTGAAGAAGAAAACACAGAATGATAATTACTCGGTTTTATTTACTTGCAAGGTAAAACTTAACGACAGAAATGATGACAAAGAAAACTTAACTTAAG